GTTTTTGTTGCAAAATAACTTTTGAACATTTGATTTTTAAATCAACAGAAACATTTGATATTCACTTTCAGCTTTGTCAAACTTTTGACTTTAGTTTTGAGTTTTTCCATTTATTAAAATCAATACCTGAAAAGTTGATTATTTATCTTTAATATTATTATCAAACGATAACTTTGTTTACAACATTCTGCCATAAAATCCTACCGATACAATGCCCAAGTATAGGAGAATATCTCTCAATATTAGATCTGACACAAATAAAATAACAAAACTGAAAATATACAAGTAAAATAATATAACAACTAATTCATATGATGCCAAAAAACCCCACTTCTTTTTAAAATGGATTGCCGTATAGTTATTTTAAAGAGGCAGGAACAATTTTTTTGAGAACAGTCATGCATAATTTGAGTTAATTTACAAAAATAAGTATGGGTTAAGAAATTTTAATTTTTCCAGAAGCATAAAAATGATATTTACTAACCTGATAGGTGATATATGAATATTTCTTTTAATATATTTTTTACAGAGTGTGTATGTATAAATATTCTTTTATATTTCTTTTCCTACACAAATCTTACACCAGTTTTCATATTTAAATTACTTGAATCTAAATATATTTGAAATTAAAAACTATGTGAACAAATACTACTACTGGTCTAAGTGAATAACAAAGGACAAAAACATTAAAATCAATGAAAAGCTGGAAATCATCCCAAATGATATTTAAAGAATGATAGAATCTGGAAAATAGAGTCAGCACTGATGCTTATTTGGCTAAGAATCTGAAGCTTGGAAATAAGAAATAAAAATGATCTTAGCCAAGTCACAAAGTATCTAAAACTAAATGAAACAGTACAAGCATTTGTAAGTGACATTTTTTGATGAGTGACATTTTAAGAAAAGTAGAAATGCACACTTTTTTTTAATGTGAGATAAATTGTTAAAGATTTAATTACTCTTGAGGAGTGCAGGGTACAGTCAGCTACCATGACTTACCCTAAGACTGTACATGACTTTTCCCCTCATTGCTCAGTTAAGCATAAATTCATAGATTTCATGGTTAAGAGAGCTTGAGATGGGAAGCTGGTTGCTTGCACTTAATCCTGCCACTGCTTATCGGACCATCTGCTATCACCTCAAAAAGCCAAGACAGTATAATCTCGATAAACATGCAAACCATTCCCTCATTTAATTTCAGTTGGAAGGAGGACCCCCATTATGTGTATTGATTTTGACGTGTCACTACCTTCTTTTGATGAATTCTCAGTGCTTTATAGTTACAGACTGCCTTTCCATGAACACATTATTAAGCCTTACAGTGTTTACTTCAAACTTCTTATAGAAATGCTTAATAAAGTTGATGTTTTTAAAGTTAATACAATTTGCATGAAAGTTGACTTATAGCTTATTCACCTTTTAGATATAAGTAGGATTTTAAAGGATTTTTTATGGATGCATCCATCCTGCTGGAGCTTGCACAGAATTGGTGATAAAAAGAATAAGGAATAGTTGCTGAGACATATAATAGTTCAGAACTCCTGAAAATTCTCTTGGTTAAATACTGGATTATACTTGATTATTGGGATAGGCGTGTGTACTCACAAGTGGGTATATATGTCAATGGGATGTTTGGAGTAGGGTTGGGAAAGCCAAAGATCAAGTAATTAAAACTGTGGGAAAAGGACATTTACAGAAGTAATACATTTCCTCAAATACTTATCAGCACATTATTGCATTACATTCTTAACTTGACTAACTCTTTGGAGCTCTTCAGGATCTAAATAATACCACACCCAGATTGAAGAAGTCCAGCAAACCTCACATTATAGTCGAACTAATGAAAATGAAAAAGAAAATTTTGAAAGTTTCCAGAGAAAAATGACACATTTACGAATCTTCAGTATGAAAGGTACTAGTGCAATGATCCAATCTTTATGAATGAAGTGAAGGATTTTTTTCTTATTACTTCCTTACATTATTTACCTCTTTCTTATTAGGTAAATTAAAAATAAAATTTTATAGAGTTCATTATATATAACATAACATTTAAAGATGATGGGCCAGGAGTAAATCAAAATATTCTTTCTCAGTTATTATACATTTAAAATAATAAAAATAATAAAATTTCTAGGTAGAGTGTGGGTATTTATTATAATCCTTATAGCATCCAATTAAATTAATAAATAAATAATAAAAAGAGATATAGAATAATAAATTAAAATGAAATTCAAAGAGTTTTTTTTATTTTAAATCAAATGAAGGCAGCACAGGTGGGTGGGGGAACAAAAGATAGTGTACAATAGGAAAATGAATAATAAAATACAGGATCTAAATAGAATAAGATCAATAATTATATTCAAAGCTACAGGATTCATTCAGGTTCTGGTCTCCTGTCAGACTATTTCAGTTGCTCTTTAAGTGCTTTCATGTATCTCCATCCACACCTACAAACCTCACCCCTGCCCTATCCAGCAGTTTAAAGTACATTTCTCCTCTGGGCAGTCGGGCAGTCTTCATTGTCTATAGCAGGGTAGAAGCACTTGGATCAACATTTCGTGAAATAAGTTTTCAGTCATTCTTCATCTGCTACCCCCACCCACCATACTTCAACAAATATCCTACACTTAAGTCACCTTGACTTTTTAAAAGTGCTTTCATGCCTTTGTGTACATGGTTAGCTTTGCCTAGAAAACTCCCACCATCTAATCCCTACTTACCTCAATCTTATAATGTGGAAATTGCCTGTATCCGCAGGCTTCAGTCTGCTTCCCTGTGGTAGGTGGGAGGTCCCAGCCCACAAATTGCGTGGCATTAGCCATGTGACATGCTGCCGACCTCAGAAGCATAGACTATCACCCGGGAGACAAAGGGACCACCCAGATGACCCTGCAGCTTCTGAGAAATAATAAAGGGTCATGAACTTCTACTGGTTTGTTACATTAACTTTTACATAGACTAAGATTTCTCAGAAACTATGTTTGAATCATCTTTAGGTGTCTAGTACCTAGCCAAAGGTAGTTGCTCCAATACTGTGAGATGCATAAAAATAAGTAAAATAGTGTGCATTTACCAATATGTACTCTTCCATTCCCTTTACTGCACTTTTAACAATTTAACCATATATAATTGACCCCTTTTAAAACCTTAGAAATGGAAAACAAGTTACTGCAGAGTATGAATGATAATCTCTCCATAGTCACAGTTGTCATAACAATAAGACTAAAGAAATGTGGAATATTTTATTATTATGCTTATAAAGCCCAATTATATGAATTATCGGCAACCTAACACTATTCTAATGCTTGTTATGATATTACACATTACACAGTATGCACTGACATTACACAATAAACTTGTAAATTTCAAGTTATTGCCACCACTAGTGAAATGGAAAGACATTTAAAACTAAGTCACAAATTGACTTGAATTTGCCAGAGTGTGAGTTACAGACCCTTTAACTCAAATACCAGTTTATTTTATGAAAATTAGAAGGGGGAAATATTGCAGAGTTTCCCAGTAGTTCTGTTTGTAAATTAACTTGTAATGATTCTTAAGAAGTTGCCATTCAGCACAATCTCTCTTCTGCTTTAGTTATTCAAACATTAGCCTCTCTTATTTTAATGGAATCACAATAGCATTTCGAGCCCTAGTTGCCCCATGCCATAAGATTACTAATGACAATTTTTAGGTTATCTAACCAGTCAAGCATTCAGTCATCCACAAATTTGACTATGTTTATTATTAATGAAGCTGCACAAACCCTAGTGTATTGTCATATTTTAATTTCTCAAATATTGTGATAATACAAAACAACATACAAGAAATGTTTTTCATGAATACATACAAGATTAATTTTCTTTCGCCTGACATGCACTAATTCATACACATATTAATTCAACAAATATTTTGAGGATCAAATGTATTCAAGCTTATGAGAATAAAAGTAGAAAATGCATAGGCTTAGTGAAAATGAGAGGTATTTAAATAATTACAATATCATGAGTGCTGTCATTGATATGTCCATAAAATTGGGGGGAAATAGAGGAATCGGAACATGTATACATTTTGCTGGGTGTTTTCAAAAGAGAGATGGTTGAGCAAATGTATGTTGAAGGATAAGAAGGATAGCAGAGGTGGATAAGATGTGAAATGGCACTCTGAGATAGAATCAATTGCATGATTAAAGTCAAAGGCACTGGGAAGTATTTGCTATTTATCAGAAAAATTCTCTTTGACTTCCTAGTATAGTGCTATAAAAAGTGCAGAGCATGACCTAGGAGGCATTACATCACCAGAGAACTTGCTAGCAATGCATATTTTCAGGCCCACTCTCAGTCCTGCTGAATCAGTTTCTGGTGGTGGGGAGAAGAATGGATGTTTGATAATTCTGAAGTGATTCTTATGCATGTTAAAACTCGAAAAGTCTTATCTAGAGAAATGATGTTTAAAGTTATGTTTTATCAAAATCTCCTGCAGCGTTTGTTAATGTAGTGTATAAACAAGTAGATTTTCGGTGATGAATACCTGAAACTCATTAAATGTCATAATGTAATGTAACTTCAACTAAAAAGAAAGTGAATCCCAAAGATAGTGCATCAAATAAATGTCAGTATTTGGTCCCCACCCCAGATAATGCAATAGGTCTAAGGTGGGCTTCAGAAATGCATTTATAATAAATCCTCAGATAATGTTAGTGTTATAGATTCCGGGATTACAATTTGAGAAACACTGATTTAGGGATGTGAGTTATAATCGTGAATTTATAAATATAAGGTTTTTTTTTTTAATTTATTTATTTATACAAGAACCGGGGGTACAGGCCAGATACGCGGGAGGGTGAGAGGAATCACCAGAGACAGAGCAGGGAACAGAACAGGCAGACTGACAAAATAACACTGCTGAGGGGAGCATTGGATGAGGCAGGAGAGGTCTGCGGCGCCATGTGGGATTCTCACCCAACGGCCGGCCGGGATAGAACTAGCGCGGCAGAGGCTGCGGACAAGCTTCACAGTGTGGTGCTCAACCACCTGAGCCACCAGGGAGGCCCGAAATGTAAGTTGTTTGATGTAGTCCCATATATTTTTTTTTTTGCTCTTATACCCATTGCCTTGTAGTAGAATAGCCAAAGACATCAGTGAAGCCAAAGCCTTGAAGTGTTTTGTTTATGTTTTCTCGTACATGTTTTAAAATTTCAGGTCTTATATCCAAACCTGTAATCCATAGTGAGATAATTTTTGCGTATGGCATGAGATAGTGGTCTAGTCTCATTCATTTGCATTTGCCACTCCAGTTTCCCACCACCATGTGTTCAAGAGACTCATTTTTTTTTTTTTATTGTATAGTCTTAGCTCCCTTTCCATAAATTATCTGTTCCTATAAGTGTGGGTTTATCTCTGAATGCTATTCCACTGGTGTGTCTATTTTTAGTCCAATGTCACACTGTTTTCATTACTATAAGTTTGTATTATAGTTGGAAGTCTGGGAAAGTGATATTGCCATTCTGTTTTGTCAGGATTGCTTTGGTTATTTGGGGTCTTTTATGTTTCCATATAGATTTCAGTAATGTTTGTTCTCTTTCTTTGAAGAATGCAATTGAATATTTGATAGGGTTTGCATTGAATATGTATAATGCTTTGGGTAAAGTGACCATTTAATAATTTATTCTTCTAATCCAAAACAGGGAATATCTTTCCATTTCTTTATGTCTTTTATTTCTTTTAACAATGTCTTACAGTTTTCCTTGTATGGGACTTTCATCTCCTTTATTGAGTTTCTATTAAGGTATTTAATTTATTTTTATGTGATAACAAATAGGACTATTTTCTTGATTTTTTTCTCATCTAGTTTATTGTTTACAGATGTTAACAAAATAGGTTTTGTAAGTTGCTCTAGTAGTCTCACTTTACTGTACTGATTTATTATTAGCAATTCATTTTTTTACTAGAGTCTATAAAGTTTTCTGTGAATACTATTATGTCATTTGAAGATAGTGATGGTCTTACATTTTCTTTTCCAAACTGAGTTCCTTCTATATCTCTCTTTTGCCTAATTGCTATAGTGAGTTTTTCAAATATTGTGTGTAGTAATAGTGAAAGTGGATGTCCTTGTCTTGTACCTGACCTTAGAGGAAACACTTTCAGCTTTTCACCCCTGAGTTTGATGTTAGCTCTGGGTTTGTCATATGTGGTCTTTGTTATATTGAAGTATTTTATTCTATGGTCAATTTTTGAGAGTTTTTCTCATGAATGGCTATTGAGTCTTGTCAAATGCTTTCTCTGCAACTATTGATATGATCATAGGATTTTCTCTTTCCTTTTGTTAATGTGAATTGTGCTCATTGATGTGTGTATACTAACTAATCCTTTCACCCTTAGAACAAAACCCACTTGGACATAATGTGATCCTTTTAGTGTAATGATTAATTTGGCTTGCTGAGATTTTATTGAGGATTTTTACATCTGTGTGCTTGAGGATATCGGTCTATAGTTTTCTTTTTAGCTTTTCTTTTCTACATTTGTATCAGAATGATGTTGCCCTCATGAAAGCATTCCTTTGGAAGCATTCCTCCTTTTTTCAATTTTTTGGAAGAGTTGGAGAAGGATAGATATTAGTTTGTCTTTGAAGATTTGGTAGAATTCACTAGTGAAGCTGTTGGTCCAGGGCTTTTGTTTTGGAGTAGACATTTGAACAGTGTTTCAGTTTTCTTGTTTGTAATATCTGTTTTGTTTTACTATTTGCTCCTGACCAAGACACAGAACTTCATATGCTTCTGAAAATTGTTAATTTCTTCTTTATCCATTTCATGGGCATAAAGATGCTCATATTACTCACTTATGACCCTTTATGTTTTTGAGATACCTATTGCAAATTATCCCTCATTTCTTATTCCATTCAGGAGCTTAATTTTTCTTTTCTTAATGAGCACAGCTAGAGGTTTGTCGATTTTACTTATCTTCTTAAAGAAACAGTTTTAGGTTTCATAAATCTTTTGAACTGCCCTTTAGTTTAATTCTGCTCTAATTTTTAATTTTGTTTAATTCTACTCTATGTATTTTGGCTTCATTTGTTACTTTTTTCTTTTTCCTTAATGTAAAAGGCTAGATTATTTTGAGATCTTTCATTAAAATGATAAGACAGACTATTCAAAGAGAGAAAATTATTTGCATCTCATACATGCAAAAGGGAATAAATATCCAGGGTCTACAAAGAGCTTATACAACATGCCTGTTGACCACCTGTATGTCTTTCTTTGGAGAAGTGTTTATTTAGCACTTCTATCCATTATTTTATTTATTTGTTGTCTTTTTTGTTGAGTTGTGTGACATAGCTTTAATTTCATTCACAGTCAGTGTCTTCTCTCGAAGATGGTGATATGAAAACTCTTATACTCACATGTCAAAGAATTAAGAATGTTCCAAAATGAATGTTTCTGTAAATGAGCCATTTTGACCAGCCACATGGTTTCTACTTGTATCCTGAAAAATGGCAGGTAAAGGAGAGTTGTGCTTAATGGTATATGCCTCAGCGAAATGTCACTTTTTCCTCCATGTGTCCTCCACCAACTAATTAAAATCTTATTTTGCTGAAATGTCAGCACATCAAGTTGCTGACTTCCTGGTTAACATTACCACATGAAACAAAACAAATGCAGTCATATGATAAATTTGGGTCTCAAAGGCTCTCCGGCCTGGGATATAATGGATTGCACTTTGCAATCCACAGTTTTAGTTTCTTCTCTCTCTGAACAATTGTTCATATCAATAATATATAATGGTATGTTAGCATTCATTCATATAAATGTGTATAGAAACTTGAAAAGGCATTGTTACTGTTTTGTTGCCCAAATCTAGGGAAATAATTCCTATTTTATGAAACATGAGAAATCTCAATTCTATTCAAGAGAAACTAGGGTAGTATATCACAGTTGTGCATTTGTGATAACTATTAAAAGACTGGTAAATATCAATTAATTTTCAAATTATAGAAGTGATATATGAAAAGTAATTTTAATTGTTAATAATATGCTATAAATATGCAGAAAAGCAACATTAATAATCACTTCTCCCTCTCAAACGTTTCACATTTGGGCAATGAATCTAAAAGTAAGAATTTGCAATATATGCTTGTGTAATTTTTTCTTTACTCAAAAATACATGATTTATATATATATGGCTGATAAATGAATGGCTTGTAGGGTAAGCTCCTTGGAATACAGTTACTTGATCCTCATCAAATATGAAAAGCACTCGATTAACATATGATCTTTCATTCTAAGTACAACAAAAAGACTAATATAAATCTTATGTAGGTCTATGTGATATTCTACAATATCTGAGAGCTAAATAATGTTGACAGTAATATACAAGAATAAGTAAAATAAATAGCCAGGATTTATAATTATGCTAATTATACTTAAATTAGAGTTCTTTATCCCAATTGTTTCAAAATATAAAGATTTGATTTAATTTATTTCCATGTGTGTTGTACCTTCTATTAACTGAGGAGCAGATTTTCTGAAAAACTGCCAAATTTTACTATATGCAATCCTGGAACATTTCTTGGGTTAAACCTTCTTATTTATTACTTTGAAAACAGAATGTCAACAAAAAGTCAATTAATGGATTTGTCAAGATATTATTACTTCTACTATGACTCACTGAAAGAAATATATTATACTATTAAGATGTTATAAGAAATTATGTAGGTCTTGTATAGAGGAGATAGCGATTTTCTTTTAAACAGTATTTTTTTTTTTATATCAGTATCTTCAAAGCAAAGTACAAAGTCATTGACATGCTGACGTAATTATACAATCAATGTTACCAAGAAAACAAAAAAAATCATCTACTAGTCATTGAAATTACAAAACTCACCTTTAGTTGCTCTCAAAGTAAAGCCACATTTGCACTGAATATTTTTAGTTGAATCAAAATTATGTCAGAAATTAAAACTCATAAGAATTTACTGTATTTTACTTACACTGCCACTTTTCTTAGCCTTTCATCATAAGTAATTCTTACCAAGTCTGGAACATTGTGCTATTTATGAAAAGAGTTAGAATAAAGCATTTTCCTTGCCTCTGTGTAGACTGCATCACTACTTTTCTTGATAAACTTAGACACATATTGATCTTCTGTTTAAGTGAGACAAGTTGTAAATCATATATCAATAGAGTTACCTTTCTTCCTTTCCTTCAACCAAATTGTTCCATACTCAGCATTAAAACACAGTGAAAGTTATTTAAGCAGAAAACTTTTTGAATCAATCTTACAAGTTTAAAATATTTAATTCCAAGAAATTTGGTCAATGTGAGTGATAAATGTACACAGAAAACCAAATGTATTCCCTCAAATTTTATTAATTATTATTTTAATTAATAGTAATATATCAATTTATTAATTTTACATGACTATGTAATTTTGAGAATATAGTTTCAAATTACTATATATGCACATGCTTCATTCACCCTCCACCAACAGTCCAGTGCTGATATCCTATCCCCTATCTTTCACTATTTCCTCCTTCCTACCTTGAATTACCTCTGGTAACCAATATGTTTTCCCAGTGTCTCATAATTATTTTGCAGTGCCTTGCCAGCTTATTTTCTTTGGCTATTTTTATTAGATAAATGAACGAGCCATTCTGTAACTATTCTTTACTTTCAGATTTATTTTACTTAAGATAATTATTCAAGATCCATCCATTTTGTTCTGAAATGCACTATTTTATCTTTTCAGTAGCCAAGTAATACTCCATTGATTATATATTCCATAATTTCTTTGTCTAGTTATCTGTCATTGGGTATTTAGGTTAATTCATGACTTGGACATTGTGAATAATGCTGTCGTGAACAGGAATGCATGAATCTTTTCATTATGATGTCTTCAGATTCTTTGAGTAAATAGCCACCTATGGTATTGATGAATCATATGACATTTCCATTTTTAGTTTTTTAAGGAATCTATATTCCATTTTTCATAATGGCTGCACCATATTACATTGTGAACAACAGTTGAAAGTCTTTTTAACTAATGATGCTGGGAAACGTGGAC